AATAGGAAATAGGAAGACCATTATGATATTTCCTATCAAGCAGAATTGAGTTTTTCGGCAAATAACCGTGAAATGAATCATAATGGCTTAAACATTAGAGATTGCTTTTCCTCATGTGACAGAATTTCTAGAGGTTACTGGAGTTAGTACAGGAGTTTAGAGGAATCAAGAGAATGTTTTGGAATCCTTTGGCTTTTTCCTTATCATTGAAAAGTGACCGCTGTATCTCATGCCATCACATCCTAATCAACACAAAAATATCTAGAAGAGATGATGCCAGCCATATCTCTCCTATTATCCATAAAAGTTTGGCAAGAAATGCCTCACAGTGATTTATACAAAGACTTGTAGTTTAACTTAGGTCAAACAATCACTCTCATCTTTAAAGATGACCTGAGAAAAGGAGAATAAGTCTGTCAGTCACCTTCAGTTAGCCTTACCACTGCCCGAACAAAGAACGGGCAATTTTAAGCTTGAGAAGTAAAAGAGACTGAGAAAATAGACAGCTATTAGAGAACGCCACCTACCTAATGTATGACATTGAGCTGGAGCCTGGAAATAGTTGAGGCTAGAGAGGGGGGTAGAACGAGATTATGAGGCTGTGGCTGGGCTGAATAGCTTTGTCTATTCTCCAAGAGCAAAGGGGAAGAACATGGTCCCATGATGGTACACCCTGGGCACACTCAAAGACTGTGAGAAGGAAAGAGGAATTAATTTCATTTAAACATGATCACTTGACAAGACGTCCACACTATATCTACAATAGGTTTTATATGTTTTGTCTTGGAACTTGTCTTAGACATTTAGGTATTGAAAACACTAAGATGAAGAAGACAGAGAATTGCTTCATGCTTTTATTTCCCCCCACACCCTCCAAAAGGAAGTTGTTTAACAAAGTTGCTCACCTCTGGAGGAATAAATTGTAAATGGGATTTAAGTTTTCATTAGTAGCGTATGATTGGGTAGCTATGTAGAGGTAAAGAACTTCAAGTTTAACCAGGACATTATCTGAATTTCCCAAAACATCAATTTTAAACATAACTCACTGTTACTAATGTTTGAAAATGCAACTTCACAAATTAATTGGGATATAATTCATAGACCACATAACTGTGCATTTAAAGGGTACAATTAAATGGTTTTATTAGGTTCACAGCTACCAGCAAAATCTGATTTTAGAACATTTTCACCCCGCAAAAAGAAGCACTGTGCCCATTGCCAGCCACTCCCATGACCCTCCGTCTCCACCCTCCAGGTGCTAAGTAATGACTAATTTACATTTTGTCTCTACAGTTTTGCCTGTTCTTAACATTTCATACAAATAGAATCACATAACATATGATGATCTCTTGGGACAGGATCCTCTCATTTACCATGATGTTGTTCAGGTTCATCCTTGCTGTAGGATGCATCAGTAATTCTTTTTTTTTTTAATGGATGAATGTTATGCTGTTGTTTAGATAGACCATAGTTTGTTTATGCATTCAAGTGGAGAGACATTTGGGTGGTTTTCATTCCATGATTGTTATGACTATATTGCTCTGAAAATTCTTGTACAAGCTTTTGTGTGCACACATTTTCATCTTTCTTAAGCGCATACCTAGGTGTGGAATTGCTGGGTCATTTAGTAACTATGTTTAGCTTTTTGAAGAACATTCAACTCTTTTCTAAAGTGGTTGCACTATTTTATATTCTCACCAGGAATTATGAAGCTTTCCATTTCTCCACATCCTCATCAACATTAGTTATTACTTGTCTTTTAATTGTAGCCACCCTAGTGGTTGTGAAGTATAACCTTACTGTGGTTTGATTTGCATTTCCCTAATGGCTAACGATGTTGAGCATCTCTTCCTTTGCTAATTGTCCATCTGTGTACTTTTTAAAGAGAGAAATATCTTTTCAAATACTTTGTTGGAGAATGACATTCACTGGGGCAGGAGGCAGGGGTGAATGAGGCTAGAGATGGAAAGAGCTACACCCACATCTGAGCTTGATAGGATCTGTCATGTTTTGTCCATTTCAAGTATTCTCACTGGTGACTTACACTCTAGAAATTATTGAGGACCCCAAAGATGTTTTGTTTCTATACCTCAGGTGCATCTATATTTAATACATTATTATAACAATATTATATGATTATACTAATATATAACATTATTAATACAATATTAAACATTGAGATATTCAAAGTATTCATTATTTCATTTAAAACTAACAAAAACAAACCTATTAAAAGTGAATATACATAAAATATTTTTATGAAAATTACATTTTTCAAAAGAAAATTACTCTGAGGATACCAGCATCATACTATATTTTTGCAATTATGCATAATGTTTTCTTTAATAGAAGACAGCAGGATTCTCATCTCTGCTTCTGCATTCCATCTGAGACAAGATGTTTGAATTGAAGCAAATGAGAAACATTAAAAAAAATGAAGTAAATAAAGAAGCTATGGCTTCACCCCAGTACATTGTTGTTAGGAGAAACTGCGGCAAATCCAGGAAACTAAAGGAAAATCAGTGTTGCTAGAGAGAGATACGGAACTGGAGCTGGAGAGGGAGGTAGGACAAGACTTCGAGGCTGTAGCTGGGCTGAATGGCTTTGTCTATTCTCCAAGAGCAAAGGGAAGAACGTGGCCCCATGACAGTGCATTTTGGGCAAATGAGACTCCTGAACTGGGGACCTTGAAACAGGAGGGCCCACATTACCAGCCGTGTAGGAAGCCTGGAATGAGGTGAGGCTGGAGAGGGAGGTAGGACAAGACTTTGAGGCTGTAGCTGGGCTGAATGGCTTTGTCTATTCTCCAAGAGCAAAGGGAAGAATGTGGCTCCATGACAGCATGTTTGGGCAAATGAGACTTCTGAACTGGGGACCTTGAAACAGGAGGGCCCACATTACCAGCCATGTAGGAAGCATCTGTTCAGTGGCAGAATGCAAAGAGGATGGTAGGGGGGCACTGCCTCCCCGTGTAACCGTAATAGGTCCCTACCCAACACATGCAGCAAGTCAACACCTGGAGGCATGGGGTTGCAGCAGAGAAAGGGCTTTAATCATAAGGCCACCAAAGGAGGACGTGGGATGAAACCTCAAATCCGTCTCTGCCAGGAATTTGGGGCTAGGGTTTGAAGAGATTTGGAGTGGGCTGAAGGGTAGAAATTGTTGATTGGTTGAAGAATGTAGGGCAAAGCCATGGGCCGGGGAGGGGAAGAAGCTATATTCTCATGCTGATCTCATTCTTCTGTGGGGGGTCTACACACTAGTTGCTAGAATTTGGGGTCTGAAAAACATCCTAAGCAATCTGTAAACAGAAGCCCCATGAGCTGACTGTCAGACGTCCTGTCGACAGGAGCAATGGGAATGCAAGTCAATCCTTCAATGGTCTAATGACCCTGTGTCCAAACTCCTGTCTGTAGGAGCAACAGGAAAGCACCAGGTGAGGACCTGGTGCTACTGGGCTTCTAGCAACAAGGAAGGGGCCAGAGTACAGCCTGAGGCATCCTTACCTGTAACTCTATTTCTGTCCAAAACCTTGTATGCAATTCTTATCAATCCTAGGGGGATGGCTTCACCCAGGGCCTGGCATGGGAAAGGCTGCTGAGGTCAATAGTGACAGCAGTGGCAGCCCTGGCAGTGGAGGAAGTCACCATGGGTGACTGAGAGGTGTCTCTTTCCAAGTTCTGTGCTGAGTGCACATTGCAGTTTGGTTTTTTTGCAGGAAGGAGATTCTGAAATTGAGTTTAGCATGCAAGACATTTATTTGGGAGTGTCCTTGATATAAACATCTATGGGAAAAGGGGGAGAAAGCTGGCAAAGCAGGATGTTCTGCTGGGAGGTGGTCCCGGAGGCCTCAGCACATTCTGTTTGTGCTCAGGAGCCCACATGGCCTGTCAGAGCTGTGCTGCATGGGGTCAGGCATTTACTCCTCAGCAATGGTAACCACCCAAGGGGTCCACCTTGCCCACTGCCTAAACACAGTGGATTCATCAAGACAGAGGAATTGCAATAGAGAAAGAGTAATTCACACAGGGCCAGCTGTACGGAAGACCTGAGTTTTATTATTACTCAAATCAGTATCCCTGAGCATTTAGGGAGTAGAGTTTTTAAGGACAACTTGGTGGTTTGGAGGAAGCCAGTGAGCCAGGAGTGTTGATTGGTCAGGGATGAAATCACAGTGAGCCAGGAGTGCTGATTGGTCAGGGATGAAATCACAGTGAGCCAGGAGTGCTGATTGGTCAGGGATGAAATCACAGGGAGTCGGAGCTGTCTTCTTGGGCTGACTCAGTTCCTCGGTGGGGGTCACAAGATCAGGGGAGCCAGTTGATCAGTCTGGGTGGTGCCAGCTGATCCATCAAGTGCAGGGTCTGCAAAATGTCTCAAGCACTGACATTAGGGGCAGCTTAGGGAGGGTCTGAATCTTGTAGCCTCCAGTTGCATGACTCCTAAACCATAATTTCTAATCTTGTGGCTAATGTTAGTCCTACAAAGGCAACGCAGTCCCCAGGCAAGAAGGAGGTCTGCTTTGGGAAAGGGCTGTTTCCATCTTTGTTTAAACTATAAACTTTGTTTAAACTATATAAAACTATGTCCTTGTTTAAACTATAAACCAAGTTTCTCCCAAAGTTAGTTCAGCCTAAGTCTAGGAATGAACAAGGACAGCTTGGAGGTTAGAAGCAAGATGGAGTCAGTTAAGTTAGATCTCTTTCACTGTCTCAGTCGTAATTTTGCAAAGGCAGTTTCACAATTATTACTATTATTGACTGTGAGCCACCCCTAAAAGGGCATGACCTTGGTGGGAAAGATTTTCTTCACTGGCAACAATGCAGACGAGATTTGAGAGCTGTCTTCTGGTCAGTTGTGACCTAAAGCTGAGCTGCACGTGTGGGATCAGGTGGTCTCGGGTCCACATGCCCCTGTCACCTTGGTGTTTTAAATACTTCATCTCATTCGCTCTTCATATCAACCGTACGAAGCAGTGACTTTATTTTCCTCTTTGACAGGTGAAGAAACAGACTCAGAATAGTCCTTGAGCTTGCCACTGGGAAGTGAAAATCAATTGCTTGAATAAATGTAAGGACTCAGGTAAGAGGCATGGGTACAGACCGAGACAGCCCTAATGTCCCTCTTGGTTTAACTCTTCTTGCTGCCTCCAGGTCCCTGGTTTCCCTATTCTTAGAGCATTTACTTTAGAAGACTTGCCACTGGGGCTCTTTCTCTGCCCCTTGGAGATGCAAATCTGTTCCAAATCCTCCTGCCAGAGTTAAAAACCTGGCCCGTCTTTCTCAAGGACCTGGGAGCCATTCCTTTGAAATATAGTCCTCCAGGAACACGGGCTGCCCTCTCTCTCCGTCTCTGTGGGAGAGAAGGAGCCTAACTTCAACGGGAATCTTGCTCCAAGTGTTAAAACTCCCTCTTGTCGTAAAGATACGAGAAAGTTCACTTTTCCTTTGGGGAAAGTCCATTCACCAAGAAGGATGGCCTACAATTCCCTGACCCCAGGTCTTCACACACACACACACAGACACACACACACACTTTCTTCAGAGGAGCTGTGCTCAAACTGAGTTCTGGTCTCTTTACCGTATTGCAGTAGCCTTGAACGAAGCCTTCCATAACTCTGCCCAGTGCAATTCAGTTTTGACGGTTCCGTTCAAAATCGTGGGCTGGAAGATACGCTGGAATCAGGTTTAGAAACTCTAATGCATAGGTGAATGAGATAGGCAAGGAGAATTTGGCCATATACAAGATGGAATGGGGAAGATGCTGGAAGGTGGAGACCCCACTAGGGGAGTGAATAGCGTCTCCCCAAAATTACTTCTGACACCCAACTCCTGGCACCTATGAGCCTTATTTTGGAACTAGGATTTTTGCAGGTGTAATTGAGCTAAAGATCTTGAGATCATACCATCCTTGATTTAGGGTGGGCCCTAAATCTAAATATTGGTGTCCTTATAAAATAAAGCAGGGGAAGATTTGAGACACAGGGAAGGAGGCCTGTGAAGACAGAGGTGGAGACGAGAGCGCAGCTGCCACCAGCCGAGGCAGGAAGACCTGGAGGCAGCACAGGCAAGGGAGGATCCTCCCCTAGAGCCTTCAGAGAGAGTGTGACTCTGCCGGCCAAACTTCCGGCTTCCTGTACTGTGAGAGAATCAACCTGTATTGTTTCAGGCTGTTAAGTTTGTTGCGTCTGCCTCAGGAAATGAAGGCACCCATCTAAAAGCTCCATGGTCGTTACTCTGAAGAAATGTGTTAGTAGATCCCTTAGATTTGCCAAAAAGTGCCAGAAGTCTGTCATTTGTTGTCAGATCCTTTTATTTTTAATTTTATTTTTTTAATTCTTAATTTTTACTTTTTATATTTTATTATTTGTTTATTTATTTTGAGACAGAGTCTCACTCCGTCAACCAGGCTGGAGTGCAGTGGGAGGATCTCAGCTCACTGCAGTCTCTGCCTCCCAGGCTCAAGTGATGCTCCCACCTCAACCTCCTGAGTGGCTGAGACCACAGGCACTCTCCGCCACAACAGGCTAATTTTTTGTATTTTTGGTAGAGAGGGGATTTCACTATGTTGCCCAGGCTGGGCTCCACAATATACATACCTCAGCCTTCCAAAGTGCTGGGTTACAGGCTTGGGCCATCACACCTGGCCTTAGATCCTTTTATTTTTTATTTATTTATTTATTTATTTATTTATTGAGTCGGAGTCTCGCTCTGTCGCCCAGGCTGGAGTGCAGTGGCCGGATCTCAGCTCACTGCAAGCTCCGCCTCCCGGGTTCACGCCATTCTCCTGCCTCAGCCTCCCGAGTAGCTGGGACTACAGGCGCCCACCACCTCGCCCGGCTAGTTTTTTGTATTTTTTTTGGTAGAGACGGGGTTTCACCGTGTCAGCCAGGATGGTCTCGATCTCCTGACCTCGTGATCCGCCCGTCTCGGCCTCCCAAAGTGCTGGGATTACAGGCTTGAGCCACCGCGCCCGGCCGATCCTTTTATTTTTAAATGTCAACAAACAACTGATGTTTTTTCCTCAGTTCTTTGCAGGCCAGCATGTAAGGGGGAAAGCAGGTAAGAAATAAGCCTCTGGGGGCAGGCACAGGCTCCAAGTACCACATTAAGAACCTAGATTTGATTTCGAATTTGAGCTGCATTGAATTGTTTCAGGTGAGTGGTGAGTTCTGCCTGATGGGGTGACAGTTGTTGGTCCTGAATATGTTTACTGTCCTCCTAATTCAAGGTCAGAGGGAGCATCTTTCTTTCTTTTTTTTTTTTTTAAGACGGAGTCTCGCTCTGTCGCCCAGGCTGGAGTGCAGTGGTGCAATCTCGGCTCACCGCAAGTCTGGCCTCCTGGGTTCACGCCATTCTCCTGCCTAAGCCTGCTGAGTAGCTGGGACTACAGGCGCCCGCCAACAAGCCCGGCTAATTTTTTTTTTGTATTTTTATTAGAGACGGGATTTCACTGTGTTAGCCAGGATGGTCTCAATCTCCTGACCTTGTGGTCCACCTGTCTCAGCCTCCTAGAACGCTGGGATTACAGGTGTGAGCCACAACGTCCGGCGGGAGCATCTTTTGCTACTTAAGACGTGGACCTGTGTCTCAGCCTAGAAGTGTGAAAGAATGAACCTGGATAGTTGAGTAGAAGGCACATCACACAAAACACTGAAACTGCCTTTGCAAAAGAGCAGTGAGAGAAGTCTTGTATGGCTGACACCATCTTGCCTCAAGCCTCGCAGGCCAGCTATCTTCACTCATTCCGGAGCACAGGCCAAGCTAACCATGGGAGGAATTTATAGTTTAACTGAGAGCAAGGATGATTAATAGTGCCTTCCTAAAACTAATTCCTCCTTGCTCAGGGACCAAGAACTGATGAAAGGCCTGAAGATAAGGATCATGGGAGGAGTCTGAATTCTGCTAAAATGTAGGCATCGTTTCTATCATCCTTACTACTCAGGAGTCATGTGGTCAGAGGTCACAAGATTTGAGCCGCCCCCAATTGATCCTATGGATAACTTAGCTACTATAGAGCCTAAAATTGGTCTCTCAAGATGTTTTTCAGACCTTTGCATTCTGGCAATCAACTGACCTCACCTGGACTCATGAGTCATGACTGAACCCGTCCTGTGGCCCCACCTGGAGATAAACTCAGCACACAAGGATCATTTTCCCACACTTCTATGATTTCATATCCAACCAATCAATGGCACCCATTTTCTAGCCTCCTGTTCACCAAAGCATCTTTGAAAAATCCTAACCTCTAAGCCTCTGGGAAGACTGATTCGAGTAATAACTCTGTTCCCTGCATGGCTGGCCTAGTGTCAATTAAACTCTTTCTTTACTGCAATACCATGGTCTCAGCGAATTGGTTTTGTCTGTGCAATGGGCAGAAAGAACCTGTCTGGTGAGCATCTCCACACATTCAGGAATTGTCTATCTAAGACAATGGAGTTATCTTCACCCTCAACAAATGTCTCAACTCTGTGACATTTTAAGCAAATCTTAACTTTGACTTATGAATTCAAGAAGGAAGAAAAAAGTAAGAAACTGTGATTGTAATAGTTCCTCTGGACGTCCTCCCCACTGGAGACAGGCTCCCTTGCTGTTGTGTGGTCACTGTTCTCATTAACCTAATGAAATCTACACTTGCAAATGAAGTCCTGGGGTCCGGACTAAATGTTCACAGTCTGGCCACATGCTAATATTTCATGTGCTAGCCCGTATCTTTAAATAGACTCATGGAAATGTGTTAAATGATATAACAGAATAAAAATCAAGCTTAACTTAAAGATGAGTCTTTTTTTTTCTATATGAGGAAATAAATCAATTGAACATTTCTTTGCACTTTATGTTAAATTAAATCCTAACATGTATAGAAAAAAGAAAAAATGCACTCTGATGATGAAGGAACTGAGTGCCAGGGTTTGTTTTTTTTTTTTTTTCTGAGACAGAGTCTCACTCTGTCGCCCAGGCTGGAGTGCAGTGGTGGTGTGATCTCGGCTCACTGCAACCTCTGCCTCCTGGGTTCAGGTGATTCTCCTGCCTCAGCCTCCCGAGTAGCTGGGACTACAGGCAAGTGCCACCATGCCTGTGTTAGCCAGAATGGTCTCGATCTCCAGCCAGTGTCATTTTAGTGAATGAAAACAGTGAATCAAAACCCACAAAAAACCATTTTTGGCAATCAATTGGTTTTTATTGTATTTGAAGATAATCTCAGCCATTTGCTTTGCATTGGAATTCACTTTGTTTTGATCTGTTTTGCTAACAAATCAGACATTCAGTTTTGCGCACCCCAGGGGCAGGCAGCACATCTGTTTTATAAACCGGTGTCTACCCATTGCTTTGCAGAATACCAGACATGGGTGCTCCAATCCATGTAGTGTTGAGGCAGTGAAGTTTGTGTTCCAGGGACTTCAGAATTCCTGAATGTACTGGTGTTGATAAAAGGGGATGAGATGAAGTAGAACGATCGTAAACTTAGAGGTTGGTAACATGTGTCCTAGCCCCTTGTCTGTGGTAAATCTCAGGAAAACAGTATGCCCTTCTTGGGTTTCATTATCTCATCTGTAAATGAAACTGTTAGACAACGTCAGTACAGAGGACATGTGCTTTGGCTGGAATGTGAGATAATTTTAGGTGTTATCAATCTTAATGTTAAATAATATGGCCGGGTGCAGTGGTTCATGCCTGTAATCCCAGCACTTTGGTAGGCTGAGGTGGATGGATCATGAGGTCAAGAGATCCAGACCTTCCTGGCTAACATGGTAAAACCTCATGTCTACTAAAAATACAAAAATTAGAGCACACCTGTAATCCTGGCTACTCGGGAGGCTGAGACAGGGGAATTGCTTGAACCCGGGAGGCGGAGGTTGCAGTGAGCCGAGGTCGTGCCATTGCACTCCAGCCTGGTGACAGAGCAAGACTCCATCTCAAAAAAAAAAAAAAAAAGTTAAATAATATTATGAGGAATAATTTCCCATTAGCATCTTCTTTTTTCCTTCTGGTGATACAGAAGGATCATCTTCTATTGTAATAGCATTTTTTACACTTTTTGAGCTCCTATTTAAAAGAACAAATCCATGTTCAGAATTTTGGAGGTATGATTATGTAGGTAGAGCTCTATGAAATTGCTCATCTTTATTATATTTATTTTTGTGGCAAGATGTAGTCATTTTTTTCACTTAGAGTTCAAGAAAAGGTTCATTTTTAAATAGATGAATTTAAACGCAACAGTGTGTCAATTTATAGATAAATACTGAGAAACAGAATAGGTAGAACTTAGGAGTGGCAACATTTGCTGGTAGTGCATAAGTCAGTGATATTCATGGGATCCTGCAGGCTGGTGTGTCAGGACCTTTGTCATCTTAAGATTGGACCTCTCTGTCTACTGTGTATTCACCTTTCTTTCGAAAAGTGCTGTAGTTTTCTTGGAAGTGGAAAAATAAATATACCTAAACACACACACAAACAAAAACTGCATGGATCAATTTCTCTTCAGGTAGACATCACCATGTGACTCAACAGCAGCCAATAAGATGGAAATAAAGGCTATGAAGTTATCAGATGGCATCTACAAGGAATACTTAGATGAGGAGGTGACTCTGGTGGCAATTGTTCTTTTGTCTTTCTCACCTTCCTTCTTGCCCTGTCTGGAATGCTGAAGTGATGGCTGGTATACAGATGACTTCTTGTGATGTTGAGATAAATGTGAGAATAAAAGTCAGCGATTACAGATGGCAGAGAAGGGAGAGAAAGATAGGATGTAGGTGGATACTGATGGAACTAAGTTTCTATTACACAAGTTCTACCACTAACCTCTGGACTTTATGATATTTGAGGGAGAAATAAACTCCTATTTTAGAAGAGATCTATGTTACCTGCAACTGAACGGAATGCCTAGTTGGCACATCCTATGTGCTCCAAACCTTCCTTAATTTCTATGTGTAAGGCATACTTAGCCTTTACCCATTATTCTGTTCACATCCATTCACTCAAACAGCCTCCCAACTCTTTAGTAAAGAGTTTACTATAGTCTACTCTATTACCAAGGCAGATTCTGGAGCAAGCCCCACAAATCATAGATTGAATATCCACTCATCACAAGAGAGAGATTTGAAGATACTTCGGTCCAAACACATTTTAAATTTCCAGCATCTTTGGTGGACGTTCGTGGTGGTTGATAGGGTTTAAATGACTTGTGATTCAAGCTCCATATTACAATGTAACAGTACAAAAGTTCATGTATTTTTTTTTTTATTTATTTTACTTTAAGTTCTGGTATACATGTGTAGAACATGCAGGTTTGTTACATAGGTATACATGTGCCATGGTGGTTTGCTGCACCTATCAAACCGTCACCTAGGTTTTAAGCCCCACATGCATTAGGTATTTGACCTAATGCTCTCCCTCATCTTGCCCCCAGACCCCTGACAGGGCCCAGTGTGTGATGTTCCCCTCCCTGTGTCCATGAGTTCTCATTGTTCAACTCTCACTTATGAGTGAGAACATGCAGTGTTTCATTTTCTGTTCCTGTGTTAGTTTGCTGAGAACGATGGCTTCCAGCTTCATCCATGTCCCTGCAAAGGACACGAACTCACTATTTTTTATGGCTGCATAGTATTCCATGAGTCTGGATTTGGTTATAGATAGAGCTGGATGTGCCTTAGCTATATCTAATGGGTTTTGACATGTTATATCAATTTATTACTGCTTTTGTAAATGAATATATTAAGAAGAAAAATTACAAATGACCCTTTCTTTACAAACTTTTAGGATAAGCAAGTTCAGTTATTAAAAAATGGATGTGTGCAACATACAGAGTAATTCTTTTCAGGAAATTAAAAATGATTAAAAATTATAATCATTTTGATCCCATTCAGATATTACATATTTAACTGTGAGATAATTCTCAGAGATAAATGTCAACTTTTAAAAAATGTTAAATAAATCAAATCAAAATGTCCACTCTAAAATAAAAAATTAGCTCCAATTATTTCTTCTTTTTAAATTTTTCCTTATAGTTGTAAAAATAAAGTGAATGTTTTGGCTCGTTTCCTCATTAAAGTTTGACTTTTCCAGTCACCAGTGTTTTGTTCTTTCTTACAAATGGTTATGTGCCTGGAATGAGAACATTACCCTGTAGGGCATTTGGTGGTGGAAACCCTTCCAATGAGGGAGCAAGCAGGATGCCAGCTTAAAATGATTATAGAGGCAACAAACTCAAATGTTAATAGGTGTTGAGGAAAGGAGTGTGAGTGGGTTTGGAGGGTTGATCATAAGGCAATAGGGAGTGGTGAGGACTGTGGCAAACAGGGGAGCTTCTGCTCTGCCTAATGTAGGGCACCCGGGACACAACTTCAGAGGCTTCTTTTTTTGTGACATCTTTCAATATGTAGGGAAGAGTGAAAAAAAATCTTGTTTTTTAAACTCTGTCATAACAGCAACATAAAATACACTTCTGTGACCTATATCCAATCTGTGTGTCTGTATGGGACTCGGTGACCTCAGTCCTTTAGGACTAGTGAATTATCAGAGATGTCAGGAAAGAACAGGCTGGGTACAAGTGGAAGTTGGCTTCTCATCTCAGAAGAATAAAAAAGACAAAGAGATGAGATCCCATCTTTCAATGTACCTTCCGTCTTTGAAGTGAGTCTAATAGCTGGAATAGAGAATGAGTTAAAGCTAATAAAAGTTAGAATGTTATTAATCCAATTTTAATTGTAACCAGAAAATAATGCCATTCTTAGTTATCACCAACCTTCCAATATAAGAATATTTCTCCTAATTTTCTTCCTCTCTGCCCTTCACTAAACATAAATCCAGAACCATGAAAGTCAATTCCTTCTCCCTGGCACTGCTACTCATGACCCATATTAAGTATTCAAGTCTTCTAAATTATTTTACTCTCCATACAAAGAAAATAGCATTAGTATTTATAAGTGAAGACAACTCCAAATATAAATGACAGAATTCTAACTCAACTTAACCATAAAGATGTGTCTTTTTTCACCTAACAAGAAGTCAAGTAGGAATGCCTTTGGGGGAAGTTGATCCAAGGGCTAAATATTGTACCCAAGGCCCCAGGTTCTTTCCATCTCCCCAATCCTTTATTCTTGGTGATGAGTTTGTCCTCACAAGGGCTGCAGATGGCTGTAGCAATCCTAAGTGTCTCATTCAGACATAATAGCAGGCACAAGAAATGACTGTTTCATCCTGTGTCTCTTTCTTAGGAATCTGGACCTTTCTCTCCCGGGTACCCACAAACAGAACTTCCTTGTCATTGGCCAAAATTGGGTCACATAACCCTTTCCACCCTCACTGGAAATGAGGACAGAATTAGCCCATCCCTCAAGTTGGAGTGAATTCAGATTCTCCTGGGGTAAATGCTATATGTAGAAAGAGTAGATGTCTTAACCAAATCATAATTCAGGACAACAGTTGGTGGATAGGTAACCAAGGTGTGCATAGGATTAATATCACAATTTTGGGTTCTATCTTCTAGCCTCCTGTTTTCCAGTTTTTATAAGCCAACCAGATTGACTATGCCAGCTCATTCTTGTTTCTTGATTTCACTTAAAACAAGACAACCTAGAGATTCTACTTGAAGCCAAACAATAGCAACATAAAAGAAAAGTACTGAAAAATAAGCCTTGCAAAAATCCAAAACGCTGACAACACCAAATGCTGCTGAGGAGGTGGAGAAACAGGAAGTCTCATTCATTGTTGATGGGATGCAAAATAGTACATTCACCTTGGAAGACAGTCTTGCAGTCTCAAAAAACTAAACACA